TCCTGCTGCACCTAAATAAAAATCCCTATCATGAGTTCTAAGACCCTGCTTCCTGACTAATGTGCCCTGTTGAACACCATTCTCTCAAGGGACCCAAGAGTTGCCAGCTTCTCCTCAACTGCCCAGTGTGCCAAGCTCTTCTTGCCTCAGGTCTTTCCACAGGTTCCTTCTGCCTGGAACAGACCTTCCTCAGACTCACCCTGATCTCTAGGGTAAACTCCTTGTTCTCCGGGTCAAATGACAATTCTTTCAAAACACCTTCCAGCTCCACCCTCAAATCTATTCATTAATTTAATGTAGGTCCCCCTGTCTCATCCCATCTCATTCTGTACTCTTCCACCTTGTCCCTGACCCCAGTTAGGAATTACATACTTAATTTAGCATCTGTGTTTTTCCACTAGCCATGTCCATGATGGCAGGCCCTGGCTCATCTCTTACCACACTACCTCTAGCGCTTAGCACAAGGACTGCCAGATAGGAGGCTCTCCCCTGAAGGCAGCCTAAATTTGGAAAGGCAAGGGTCTTAGCTCTTCAAACTCTGAATACCTTCTTACACCCTCTACTTGAAATGAGGTGCTTCCACCACAGCCAGTCCTCTAACACCTCATCTCCACTCCCACATTAAAACAAACCCACATCCCAGTCTTTGTGCACCTATGAATAGGTTCTTCCATAACCTCTGCAGAAGTCAAACTTTCCGTTCCTATTTTCTACCTGGGTCAGGACTCTTAACTAGAGATCTAAGTTAATCAAAATCACAGTTCAGAAATTACTTGAACATATGCTGTTCTTATAAATTAATGGAGAGCATAAAGGAAAATATATAGAAAACAGGGGCATGGTTAAGAGCGCCGGACTCCCCACATGGCCGACTGCTGGACCTGGGGGCTTGCTTCCTCAGTTTCCCTCTCTCACGCTTGCGCTGTTCCTCTCTGGTCAAATTAAAATAAAGTTAAATAGGGACCAGCAAGTGGCATGGTGGTTAAAGGCGCTGGATTCCCACATGGCCAACCATGGTTTGAGGCCGGGACCTGGTGGCTTGCTTTCTCACTCTCACGTTCCCTCTTTCTCTCTCTTTCTCTGATCACATTAAAAAATAATAATGAGTGGAATTAAATAAATAACTCCTTAAAAAATAAATTAGTTCTTTAAAATATGCATGTGGGGGATAGAAAGGTGCTGCGGTGGATAAGGGTGCTGGATTCTCACATGGCCAACCATGGTTCAAGTCCCTGACCTGGTGGCTTGCTTTCTCGCTTTTCCTTTCTGTCTCCATCTGGTCAAACTAAAAAATAATAACAAATGGAACTAAATAAATCTTTTTTTAAAAAAAATGCACATAGAAAACAAGAAAAATTATTTAAATGATATTTTCACAACTACATAGTGTACGTGGTTACCTATCACTTTGACACTGAGGCAAATGTAACTGCCAACGGAAGATTAAATTATTTTTTATCTGAACCAATTCAGTTTCAAATAATGCAACTTATGGTAAAGCTGCTCTACTGTTTGTCTAAAATAGAAACAGGAACATAAAATAATCTAAAAGTAAAAAGGTCAGCTTCATGACCTAGTGGTTAAGGGAGCCATATCCCACAAGACTGAAAGTAATTCAGATCCCAGGCCTGGTCACTTAAAAAACACGACGGGCTCGGGACCAGCAGCAGGCATAATGGCTATGTCACTAAACACCCAAGTAGTCAACCACATGTTCAAGTCCTGGACCGGTGACTTAAAACTCACACCGGGTGTGAGCACGTGTGTGCCCAAGATCCCGAGAGGACAATGGAGAAGGGACTGCGATGTGACCATCCACACTAGGGGGTGATTTCTGTCTGTCTCTCTTTTTCTGGTGAGCGCACACACCCTATAGTAAAAACCTCTCCTCTCAAAAAAATCTTTAAATAGATAAAAATTAAAAGAAACACAACAGGCTTGAGACTGTGCATGCCCAAAATCCCAACAGGATGGAGAGGTGGAGAAGGGACTGCAGAGTGATCGTGCCCAGTTAGGGGGTGCTTTTTCCCTGTCAATCTGGTCAGCAAGAAAAGAGAAGAATGGGGGGGAAAGAGGGTACTGGACAAGAACACTGTTCCCAGTATCTGGGATTCCCTTTCCAAGTCTCTTTTGGAGCTAAAGTGTGCTAAACTCTAGGCAAGAAAGAACCCAGCAGCTAAATGAATAATGTAGTGCTCTGTTCTTTTTAATTCCTTGGGGAGCTATCTTTGCAAGATAAAGTAAACTGGAACCCAGAGGAGATTAAAACATCAAACAGGAATGTATGCTACTACCTAAAAACAAACTTCCATGTTTTAAAAAACAGTGGCGAGGGGACCAGTAGGTGGTGTCGTGGTTAAGGTGCTGGACACTCCCGCATGGCTGACCGCAGTTCAAGTCCCAGACCTGGTGGCTTGCTTTCTCACTCTTCCTCTTCCTCTCTCCCTCTTCCTCTCTCCCTCCCTCTCTCTCCCTCTCTCTCCCTCCCTCTCTCTCTCTCTCTCTCTCTCTCTCTGATCAAATTAAAATAAGTCAATAAATGGGACCAGCAGGTGGCGTGGTGGTTAAGGTGCTGACCTGGTGACTTGCTTTCTCACTCTTCCTCTTCCTCTCTCCCTCTCTCCCTCTCTCTCTCTCTCTCTCTCTCTCTCTCTCTCTCTCTGATCAAATTAAAATAAGTCAATAAATGGGACCAGCAGGTGGCGTGGTGGTTAAGGTGCTGGACACTCCCACATGGCTGACCAGTTTGAGTCCCGGACCTGGCAGCTTGCTTTCTCACTCTCTGTCTCTCTCTGGTCAAGTTAAAACAAATGAACAAATAAATAAAATTCAATAAATAATTTTTAAAAAAATAAGTCAATGAATAAATAAAATTTAATAATTTTTTTTTAAGCGCCCACCACCCAGCAGGTAGCAGATTGGTTAAAGGCACTGGACTCCCACATGGACAACCACGGTTTGAGTCCAGGACCTGAAAGTTTGCTTTATCACTTTACCCCCCCCTCTCTGTCCCTCTCTGGTCAAATTAAAATAAACAAAGTTAAACAATTCGTTAAAAAAAATTCACAGTACCTAATACACTTCCTTGGAAACACAAGTAAGAATTTAAAATCCATTGTTGAAAACTATACACACTAGGAGATAATGGGATTTGAGCACTAATGGGTACAGAGTGTTTCTGGGTGATAAAAATGTGCTACAATTGTGCTGATGATGACACTGTTTTGTGACTGCACTAAAAACCATAGAACTGTACCCTTCCTATGAGTTAACTGTGTATGTTCATTATATCACTGTAAAGTTGTCAAGAAAGCTACAAACAAACTCAGGAACGGTACATCTAAGTACCATTTCAGGGTTAAGTTTTCAGAGGAAGCACTTGGGGTAGGTCTAAAATGGCAGAGAAGAACAGTTGAAGTCTAGTTTAGCTAGAAACCTTAAGTCTGACAAATTTAAGAATGAAAATGAGTCTCGGAACTGAGAGCCTTGAGGCAAGCAGATGGCACGGTTAAGGCACTGGACTCCCACATGGCCAACAGCGGTTCAAGTCCCAGACCAGGTGACTTCATTGCACGCGCGCGTGCGCTCTCTTTCTATCTCTCTTTCTCTGGTGAACGCACAAACCCTATAGCTAATTAAAATTTTAAAAAAATTTAAGAATTATTTAACTTCATTTATTTATTTAAATATGACCAGAAAAGAGTGAGAGAGACAGCAAGAGAGGGAATGAGAAAGCAAGCCACCATGTCTGGCACTTGAACCATGGTCAGCCATGTGGGAATCCAGCGCCCTTAACCGCCATGCCACCTGCTGGTCCCAATAAATTTAATACATAATTATTTAGGGGGAAAAAAATCCATGTAAAGAACTAAGAGCATCGAGGGGCCAGCAAGTGGTGCGAAGGTTATGGTCATGAATCCCATAATGCCGACTCCAAGTTCTAGTCCTGATCAGGTGGCCTGAAAACCACACTGGGTGTGTAAAAGCGCACACAAGATCCCCAGATGAGAATGGAGACAATTAGATTGCTGGGGACGTGATTACACACACACACACCCTATCTGTCTGGAGAGTGCAAGTGCCCTATAGCAAAAACCTAAAAAAAAAAAAAAAAAAAAAAATCTGTGAGCCTAAGTGGCTACAGAGAATCTGGCAAATAACACGAAGCTTCTTAAAAGATTTTGACCAAGAAGACAATGGAAATGTGACCAAGGAAAGAGGCTGTATCTGGGTAAGTCACCATTTTGCTCTGAAAAATGTGTTTTTACTGATTCTATAGCTTACTACACAGGCCCTCCAGTAATGAAAGTCAAAGAGCCCCCTGAGTCATTCATTAGTAATTGCAGCCAACACCCTGCTAGTGAGAGAGAGATGCATATGAATGGCCCATCGTGGTTCAATATTCCATAACGATAAGAAAAACGAAAGTGAATGCATAAATATCAAGGGAGAACCTACTTTATTAAACCCCTTTCACGACAAATCCAATCTTGACATGGACCCCGGATCTCCGGTGCTCAAACTCCTTTTCCGGACACCACCCCGCCCCCACTCACGTGGGACTCTGACCGCTACATCGTCTCGCGCCCGGCAATCGCCAGGACCCATTTAATTTAACTAACTTATAAGCGCCTGATATATGTGCAAATCTCCCAGCTCCGTGTTGGGCTCAAGAACCCGCAGGATAGCCTGGACCTAGTCTCCACCCTCCAGTAGAAAGCTCTGTCCATCCTACTTCCCAGGCTGGCCTTCCCTCCAGTTCTCTCCGTGCCCTCCACCGGTCCGACTATTCGCTCGGCCAACCCGCCACCGGGGAAAAACCTCGTGTCCGACGAAGACCCACGTTCACAGAGGGTCGCGACCACTAGTCGCCCACAGGGTCCTCGGCTCCGAAGGAAGGTGACTCCCTAGCCCGCGCTCCCCAGGCGCGGGGGGTCGCACGCTGAGGCAAGCGCTACCTCCCCTTCCCGGAGCACGCGGCTGGCTCGGCCCGCACTTACGGCGTGCAGCGGTCGCTATACTCGTTAGCAATCGTCTCGATGCCGCCGGCGCGGGCTACGGCGACGTAGCAGCTCTGGAAGCCCAGGTCTATGCCCACCACCGACATGGCGCCGGCTAGTGCTGAAGCTCGGGCCCGGGTCCGGCCGCCGAGACAGGACACGGACCCCGGCGGGGCTGGCGCGCAGAGAGCAGGCCGCGTGGGCCCCGGGACCCGGTCTACCGGAGAATGTGCGGGTGTCCCCGAGAACGCCTAGGTCCTCGGAAGGGGACCGCAGCCTAGGGCGCCGCTAAGGCCGGCTCCGGCTCAGCGGCCGCGGATGGACGCCGGTAGCGGGGGCGGAGAAGATCTCGAAAGATCTCGTTGCGACTAGACCAGAGCTGCAGCGCGAGAACTGCAAAAGAACGGAATGTTCTCGCGATAGTCCGGCTCAGACGCTTTTCCTCCTCAAGTCCCGCCCCCAGTACGTAAGCAGTGTACGTCACGTCCTGGCACAAATACCTGAAAAGGGATTGGACGGCGGACGGGTGGTCGGGAAGTGGAGCTGACCCACTGAGCGTGCGCACTGAACTCGCCGCTGCGGCGCTCTTCAGCTGCAGAGAGCCCTCGAGCACCTCCCCTTCCAGAAGTAGGCCGCCGGCTGGACGCAGTGTACTGAGGAAGGCCGTGGGCCTACTTCCGCCTGTTTTCTTTATTGCAAAGAAACTTCCGGTGGCAGGATCTGCTCGGCTCTACTTTCTCCTGTCCCAAAAGGAGGAGAGCTAATCTTCAAATTTCGCTGGGCTCTCTTTGCGGCTGTACAGGGAGACTGGCTAGTAGGAGAGGGGCGCCGTCGAGGCGCTTTGGCCCTTAGCAGGACTTTAGTCCGACTCTCAACGTCAAAGATAGCATCCCATTAACGGAGGGAAGAACCCAGCCCCAATCACAGCGGCTTTTTTTTTTTATGTCGAGCCATTCTCTAAGCCACTCGTGCTCAGATCAGATTGAGGGCCTGCGGGATTTAAGCCTCCTAGTGCCAACGACATCCCAAGCACTTGCTAGGCCTGGAGCTGAATCCATAGATATGGCACAGAGATACTGCCTAGCCTGGAAGGTCTATTCAGACAAACGATAGACATAGGAAACTAATGGTTTGGTTTGGTTTTTTTTTTTAAGAATCATTAATTTTATTTTCTTTTAATTCGCTGTAAATCACATGAGCTCCAGGATGAGGCAGCGGCTTAAAAACTAAACATCTGGGACCAGAAGTTGGTGTAATGGCTGTGTCGCTGGACTCCCAGGTAGTCGACCCAGGCTTGAGTCCGGGACCTGGTGGCTTAAACTCATGCTGAGTACGTGTGTGCGCACGCCCAAAATCCCTAGAGGAGAAGGGATTGCAGCATGGCCATCCACCTGGGGGACGATTTCTCACTTTCTGTCTCTCTGTCTCTGTCTTTCCAGCAAGCACATGTGCTCTATAGCAAAAACCTCTCAAAAAAATATAAATAAGTATTTAAAAATAATCTTCAACACCTGGTAAATGTGCTTGTGTACCAAGATCCTGAAAGGAGCCCAGAAGAGAAGGGATTGTGGCATCGCCATCTTGCTTTCTGTCTGTCTCTCCAGCAAGCACATGAACCGTATTGCAAAAATGTCTCAAAATGAAAAAAGATAAATGAAATTAGATCATTCTTTCTTTAAAAAAGTTAATGAACAAAAAAAAGGATAATTTCCCTGACTCTGCTTCCCTTTAAATGAGCCAAATATGCATTTTCTGCTGTCTCAAAAGGGACAACAGTCTCGGGAACCAGCAGTTAGCGTAATGGCTGTCGCTGAACTCCCACGTAGTCAACCGGTTCGCGTCCCGGACCGGTGGCTTAAAACACGCCAGGCGCGTGTGTGTGCGTGCCCAAGATCCCAAGAGGAGAATGGAGGAGAAGGGATTGCGGCGTGACCATCCCCCCTGGGGGATGATTTCTCGCTTTCTTTCTCTATGTCTCTCTCTGTCTGGAATGCACGCACCCTATAGCGAAAACCTCTCCGAAAAACCCCCTAAGAGAAAAACCCTCCCAAAAAAAAAAAAAAAAAATGGGGCACGACAGTCTCTAGCAGCAATGCCAAAGTCCAGGTTGTTTGCCTTTAAAATTGTAAATTACCACACTGTTCTCACAATTTACCTAATCCAAACCTGTTGCTGTCTTTGTCAAAGACAAGTACCAGGTGCTATCTGTAGAAGGGTAAACTGGTAAAAGGAGTGAAGGCGGAAAAGAATAGCCTATTAGAAAAGGCAGCAGAATGTTATGATACTTCACAGTTGCCAAAGGTGGAAACAACACAAATGTCTGTTGACAGGGTGAGTTTTTGGTACATACAGATTGATAAATCCTTGTCCAAAATGCTTGGGACACCAGATGTTTTTGACTTCTAGAGATTTTGGAATATTTCTGATACTGGATCCTGAAAAGTAAATGGTAAAAGTAAGTTTTCTGTGTTTAGTCTTAAATATTATACCTACCAAGGAAAGGAAAAGAAATAGCAGGATCCCAGGCAGTCTACACAATGAGCTCGTGCTCTTCCTGCTACTAGTCAGTTCTGTCTACATGCTGTGATTATGGTCTTGTAGTGCCCGTGTTGTGAGAGCCTTGTCTGCTCGATGTTTGCAAGACACAGTCATAAAATATAAAGATTGTAGTCATGGCCGTCTACAGGGTTCAAGTCCCATACCCAGTTTGAGAGACATGCTGGGTGTGTGTTCAAAAACCCAAGAGGAGAATGGAGGAGAAGGGATTGTGATATGGGCATCCCTTATGAGGGGTTCTTTCTCAGTCTCTCCCACCCTCGTCTCTCTCCAGCAAGGGCACATGCTCTGTAAACAAATAACGAAAAAAAAAAAAAAGTCTTGGACTTCATTGTTCCCCCGATTGATATCTTCCATAATAAATGTTACCGAACTCAAATCAGGTTCGCTTGCCCAAGCGCTATAAAACTAAGCCATAGGCACATGGTGTGATGAAGCACAAAGCAAGGAGAGCTCACAACCAGCAGTTTCCAGTCTACAAAACATCTTACACATTGAAATGAAAATCTTCTTTCCTTTAAGCAAGAGTTTTAGAGGTCAAATGGCCCTCACTCATGGTCCATGTTGGTCATTATCATAACCAAAGTCTGAAGACTTACTCCTTACAATGCAAATGGACTTTATATTTCAGAAACCCTAGAAAATACGTAGGGGTTTCTTGCCCGGTTTCATAAAGTCTTTCTTAAGCAAACTTCCTTTGTCTCAGAAAATGACATATTTTGGGACCAATGGGTGGGATGGTGGTTAAGGTGCTGGACACTCCCACATGACTGACCATGGTTCGAGACTCAGATCTGGTGACTTGCTTTCTCACTTTCTCTCTCTCTCTCTCTCTCTCTCTAGTCAAATTTTAAAAAATAAATAAATGAATGAATAAATAAAGTTAAATGAATAATTCTTTTTAAAAGAAAGAAAGAAATTGATGAATTTTGTAATGAGTGATTAGGCCCAGTGCATACATTCTTCTGGTAACATTTGCATATACATAATGAGCTATCTTGGGGATGAAATTAATTTAAACATGAAATTAATTCATATCTCATATACAGCTTATACAAAGCCTGAAGGTGATTTTATTTTTTTAAGGTGATTTTATAAAACATTTTTATATCTGTACTTTTTTTTTTTTTGGAGAGGTTTTTACTATAGGGCAAGTGCGCTTGCCAGACAGACAGAGAAAGACAGAGAGATAGAAAATGAGAAATCACCCCCCAGAGGGGAGCCGTGAGTTTAAGCCACCAAGGCTGGGACTCGAACATGGGAGTCCAGCGACATAGCCATTATGCTAACTGCTGGTCCCTATATCTGTACTTTTGTAGCATTTTGTATTTGTATGTAGCATCTTGACTGTGACTCATCACACGAGGACAGGTGTAGACTTTTATGACATCATATGGGTATTCAAGAAGTTTCAGATTTTCGATCGAAGGATATTGGACTTATACATATGATAGAATAATATGCAACCCTATAAAAGGAATGAAATTCTGATACATGCCACAAGATAGATGAACCTTGAAAATATGCTAAGTGAAAGAAGCCAAACAATGGACAATTTTTGTATGGCTCTACTTTTTTTTAATGATTTAATTTTATTTTATTTATTTATTTGAATTCGACCAGAGAGGGACAGAGAGAGAGAAAGTGAGAAAGCAAGCCACCAGGTCCACGACTTAAACCACAGTCGGCCATGTGGGAGTCCAACGCCCTTAACCACCACACCAACTGCCACCCCCTGTATGGCTCTACTTCCATGAGATGCCTAGAACAGGCCAGAAAGTGAGGAAGCAGTTAATAAGAGCTTTTTGCTATAGGGCGTGTGTGAGCACCATAAAGACAGAGACAAAGAGATAGAAAGCGAGAAATCACCTACCCCCACCCCACCCCTGGCCACACCACGCCACACTACGCCACGCCACAATCCCTTCTCCATTCTCCTCTCAGAATCTTGGGCATGCACGCACACACATCCAGTGTGAGTTTAAGCCACCAGATCTGGGACTCAAACTGCAGTTGGCATCTACATGGGAGTTCAGCGACACAGCCATTACGCTAACTGCTGGTCCCAATAAGAGTTTTTAGTAGCATAGACTAGAAAATCATTGCTTAAAGGATATAGTGTTTCAGTTTGTGATGCTGAGAAAGTCCTGGAGCTAGAGGGTGGTGTTGCTTGCACAGCAAAGTGCATGTACTCAATGATTTATATACCTAAAATGATTAAAATGATAAATTACGTGTTATGCATATTTTACCACAATTTTTTTTTTTTAAGTTTTTGCCTTAGAGTGCACTCACCATAGACAAAGAGAAGGAATGTGAGAAATCACCCTCATCCCCCAGTGGGGATGGCCATATTACAGTCTTTCAGTTCCTCTAAAGATTCTGGGCATGCACACACAAGAACCCAGTGTGATTTTTCTTGTTTTTTAGAGAGTTTTGCTCAAGTACGTATGTGCTTGTGGGAGAGACAGAGACAGAAAGGGAGAAAGCACCTCCTGAGGGGATGGCCATGCCACAATCCCTTCTCCATTCTCCTCTGTGGATTGTGGGAACTCACACACATGCTCCTGGCGTGAGTTTTAATCCACTGGATCCAGAACTTGAACCACAGTTGACTACGTGGGAGCCCAGCGGCGTAATCATTACACTATCTGCTGTACCCACAGTGTGATTTTTCAACCTTCCAGGTCCAAGATTTAAACTGTAGTAAGCCATGTGATAGTCCAGCCCCTTAACCCACTACACAACCTGCTGGCTCAATACCACAGTTTTTTTAATAAAACATTTATTGGGGGCTGGCAGGTGGCATGGTGGTTGGCTCTGGACTCCCACATAG